TCTAGCCTTGAGCATCTTGAGTGGCATTACTCTTCCCACCATAACTTCTTTGCCATCCTCACTCTCCTAATTGCTCTTATCAAACACCAAATTCTGCATACTCCCCATTCCATTTTGAAGATAGTTCACTTGTTCATAGCCTATTATTCCATTTCTAAACTCTTGATGAGTTATTTTATTTATTCAACCAAAACGTGTATCAAATATCCAACATGTGCTGGCACACCCTTCATGGACATAATTTCTTTCAGTGAAAAATAACTGATAAAACTCTTGCCCTCATGGAGCTTAGGTGCTAGTGCAAAAGGTTGACAATGAAGCATAAACTTTGATGATTTTAAATAGTAAAGGTTGCTGTGTGTTCGAGCATAATTGGTTGGCTTACAAAATCAATGAGAATACTGGAAAAATGGACTATGAACAGAAATAGGAAAATATGAAGCTCTGATAGAACCATCCAGTAGGGGATGCTGCCACCTCATTCAGCCCCAGTCATGAACACCATAGCCCAAGACTAATGACCTCTGCTGCTGCTGGAGACAACTTCTTGTTTGTGTCTGTGTTTTTGTGTCACACCCTCAATGTTCTAGGCAGGATAATTCAATTAGCCACATTTTAAAGACTGGGGGCACAGGATGTGGTGAGGAGGAATAAATGGTTCTTTGAGTTGTGATGGGGGGAGCAAGGACTTGCCTTTGATCAGGGATATCATAATAGACATGCTTGCAAAACCAGAAGGGAGTTTTTTTATTTTTAATTTGTTTTAATTAGTTATACAAGACAGTAGAATGCACTTATGCACTTTGATATATCATACATAAATGGGCTATAATTTCTCATTTTTATGATGTATAATAAACACAAAGTGCCCTTCTGCACATTATGTGGATAGGGCCCCCTGGGAAGCAGAGGTTTAGTTCCAGGCAGAAGTGCATTGTTTTGTGGGGCTGGGGGTGAAAGCATGTGAAGGAAAAAGAGGAAGGAAGGAGAAGCGTTCAGGAAAAGTCTCCAGACCAACATGCAGTTGTGACAACTGTGGACAGTATGAAGAGAAGGCAGAGCTGGGCAGGGAGGGACCCAGACCACCATGCTGAGGCA